CTGCCTCTCCTCAGGGTCGGGAACATACCCGGAGTGATACGGTGGTGGAGAGGGCTCAGGGTTCCTAGTGCCCCTCATCGCGTTCACGGGGTACAGGGTGTGAGGTCTTCGTGGCGGATTGGAGCACTTCTCGCACATACCTGGATACTGACACCTCCCGGAGAGGGGAGGACGTTGATTTCGTTCCCCCCCTTCTCAGGAGTCGGGGAATACCCGGTACACGCCGCGCGTGTCCCTTCCCCCCCAGTCTACGGGTTGACTGCGGGTGTCGGGGGGAGGGGAGGGAGTAAACCATCGAACGTGGCAACAATACACGTGAGTCGATTTTTGGCCGTTCGTTGTAGTACAAAACAAGGACTTTTCTTTCGTATTGGGATTATTGTCGGAAGTATCTTTTTACTTTCATCTACCGTCAAAATTATCTAATAGAAGGTCGAAATTCTTGGGGTCTCGCGACCGGGTTTGAGTAGTTTTGCTCAGTTCTAAAGAACTATGAACACAGGAGCCGGACACACAGAGCGTCAGAAGGTACTAGGCACTCGTCGTCACAACGTCGGCGTCGCCTGGTTGGTCGAGTACTGGACTACGGACCTGGGGGGATGTCCGGCGGTCGTAGATAAAGATGACCAGGAGCACTCTGGTGCGGTTGGTGCGTTAGGGTTGCAGGTCTCCTTTTTACCTCTGCCCGGTGCTTAGCCACCCGGGCACCAGGATTCCTGCTGTGGGCTGTTGGGGCCCGGCGTAGCACCAAGGGTTGCCGGACTCATTTTCCCATCGAATATACACAACCAAAAGTTTTCTATTTTGTTTTACTTACGTGATTACCCTAAACTTTACATAATGACAACTTGATTTCGTACACACGTGGGGGGGGGAACAACGTTCCATGTGACATAAAAGTGTGGTCACGTCCTGCGACCGATTCTAGGCTTTCCTGCGGAGGAGAACCTCGCCGTGCCTCTCTTCAGAGACAAGTGGTGCGCCTGAGGTAGTCCGGGTCACCGGGAGAACGAGACTCCTCGTCTGTTTTACCCTTTTTGACAAAACCCAGGGCTGCGCTTGGAGTTTCCGTAGCTCTTCCTCGCTGGGACTGTCCATTGTTAGTTGGTCTTTTTTAGGTTTTATTTCATTTATTTATAATTCGTACAATTCACGTGGCTATTCGTACTGAATTCACTTCGTGAGGGGGGTTTTTTACTACTTTATCAAATGTGGGTCATATAGTGTTCGTTCCCTTTGTTATGTCATACAAATGACGCGTATGAGTTAATGTAATTTTTACAAATTTAAGAACATTCACCCCATTATACGTCGCTCTTGCCCCACTAAAAAACGTGGTCGAAGGAAAGATTGAATTATACTCCCGTGGACTGACTGTTCCACAGAGATCGTCGCCAGAACGATTGTTCCGCTGTGTGACTTACAGGTTAACTCGGTTTTAGTGTTAATCACAAGTGGTTCGCGGTACCACGACTCTCTACCTAGGGCTACATGTTTAAATTTTCTTAACTTATCTTGTTATATGAGCGTTATTTACTTACTTTTATCCAATCGTACATAACTCGAGTAAATATATATTTAGAATACAGTGAAATTGTTTCCAGCAGGAGTACAGATCTTATTCCGTGCGGCAAATCTTTGGTTACTCCGATCGTTACGAATGTATCAGGTAGGTGTTACTTAGTTGTCGTAGTTACGGTTGATTTTTTAGTCAATCATAATCGGTTTTTAGTAAATTTACTTTCACTTCTTTCTAAACCATATATCAAAACTGTCGACAAACATTGAAGATCATTTTCTGGTACAGTCGACAGGGACAATCGTCGAAGTTTGGTGTAAAAAGGGACAATATTCCTAAATCTACGTCCATGCCCTGGACTTTACTTTTCTCGGTGGGGTGGGTACCCAAATAAGTATCTGTGTGCGTCGATGTAACGTTTGGTTTTGATTTCTTCAAATCACTTCGTGTTCCCGGAGTTTTGGGTCTAGCTAATCATAAACAACTCAACTCTTGGCGTTCCCTGTCGTCTCCCGTTGCGTCCCGGTGACGTAACCGCCGCACTCTTTCATAAAGACAACCACTGTGGACAAGTTAGCTTCGTTTTGGAGACATAAATAATGAACGAATAGTTGTTTTTTCGGTAGTCTTTAGGTTTGTCATATACAATCGTTATTCTTTAACAGGTACTGTGTTTTACACTCTCTACTAAACACCAACCTTACGGTAACCCGGAGTGTAAGGTTCTTTTACAAACGGACAACAAAGAAGAGTTGGTAGGAATGACAAGATACTCCAAACCGAGAGTGACGTCAGAGGGAAACAACAATTTATTGGGTTGTTACTTGTCGTCATCTTTAGTTTTTCGTTCAAACTTCCTCACAGTCGTCTCTATCACCACACGTTGACGACTGACAAACAAGTAGGTCTCTTCGCGCGACACCAAAGTTGTAATTCAACTTCCATTGGTTGAGAAAGATTCCGTTTCGACAGCGTGATTTTACTTTCGACCAAGTTCTCCTACTCTATGGTATAATCTCGGTTCTCTCTTAGTGTCCGCGATGTAAGTCCCCTGGGGGATAAAGTTAAAGACACGTTGGACTCTCCCTACGGAAGTGTGTACCCGTATTTCCTTATATCGTTTATGTATTATATATATAATATTATATTATATATTATAGAGTAATTATAGCGTTCTCATTACATAATGTTTATTAGTAAATTTTTTTGGGCGGGGGGGGAGAGCCCTCAGCGCTGTTTTCCGAGCACACTTTCGCGAGGTAAGCGCGTCAGAATATGCTCTGTCAGCCGCAGCCCCGACTTCTCCACGGTTACGACCGAGGGAGAGGTGAGTAAGAAGCAGCGGCTGCTAACCAGAAAGCCGGTCAGAGACAGTGAGATAGAACAGTGGTGTTGTTGGACGACAGTGCGTGTATACAGACTGAAACGCCTGTGAGAGATATAACGAGGGGTTACGTATGGTAACCCTAGTTATATAAGCACAGGCGGAGCCCTCTACTCGGGGCACTGTCTGTCCTATGCCGCTCGCTGAAGAGAGGTGTAGGATGACGGTCAGGAGGCGAGGCCTCCTTTTTATACGGTGAGATGCACGCGCATTCAGGTAGGCCCGCCCCGGGGCCGGCTACGTTTATAGAAGTCTCAGTGGATGAATGCTTGCATGATATGACCAAGGGGTAGTACCCATAGAGTCCAGTAGAGGGCTCCGCCTGTGCTTATATAACAAGGGTTACCATACGTAACCCCTCGTTTCAGACCGGTGTCTAGTTGCCTCTGAAAGGACTTAAACATCTTTATAGAATGTTGTTAACAGAGCAACATTTATTTATTTACTTATTTAAATTAGGACTGTCAAACGATTAAACATTTTAATCAGATTAATCATATCTTAAAAATTAATTAATCATGATTAATCACCATTCGAACTATGTCCAAAATATGCCATTTCTTTATGTAGGCTATATTGTTGTGTGAATGGAAAGATAAATGAAAGAAGGCGGATATATCCATTTCACATAGCCTACAGTATGTATGTTTATTATAACATTTTTCTGTGTGTCAAAATGAAAGACAGCACACACACCTATTAGTTATTATGCTCCAAATATCTGGAACAAACTAACAATCATCAAACCGTGGGGTCTTAATTCATTACGTGTTGATTTCTATCAACGGGGGAGTACTTCAGGAAAGTCGACGGGGGGACGGGGGGCTAGTGGAGTACTTTGTGA